GGCATCTATAATAAAGGTTTTTTAAAAAAAAGCCATGTCTTTCAGCTCTCAGATGGTTTTGCATCTAGAGTTATGGGCACAGTTTAGGTCCTATCAGTGGGAAGCTTCCACTGACACAGTTGTCCACAGCAGCTGGCCCCTACTGTCACTGTCTAGTCACCAGCCTTGTAGGGCTTTTGATTCTGAGTGGGATGAAGTGCTTTCCGTCTATGTGTTAACATGTATTTGGAGCCTACAAAGTCAAAGTTCAAACAGTCGCAATTATAAAACTGCTTTAGAACAATTCTAGTCTCTAGTTTGCTAAGCTGAAAATGATAGGAAGGTAGATTGTTTAAAATATCCTTGCTTTTCTTTTCTAGTGTTACCAAAGTTTGAAGTTGCTTTGGAGATACCACTATATTGTTCTAAACGCTGAGAGTTTAAATGGTACCATCACAGCAAAGTAAGTATCATATTTCTTTTTATGACTAGAAACTGTTATGAAACTGAATGACAAAGAGCTCATTATTTACTCCAGAACATTAGCACAATGTCTTGTTTCACTTATTAAAATTCCCCAATGGATGGGAAATATTTATAATAATTAAGCAGATCTTTGGACTCATTTCTCTGCTCCAAAGCTGCTCCAGTCCTAAAAGGCTAGTGTCTTTCCAAGAGTCATCAAAAGATTTACAATATAGATGATGTCAGATTAAAAAGAAAGTTGTAGCTTTATTCCTCATTCAGCTGACATGGATTAAGGCAATTTACTTCTTAGATGCTAATTGTTCCGTGTCAATAATGGAGGTTGAATCTTCAGGGAGGAGTGTTGTTGCTTTATTACAGGTAGCTGATGAGTCAATAATCCACATTCATCATCCATTTCAGCATCTCTACACAGAGACTTCCAGCCCACCCCGATGTGTAGTCCCTTTCATGGTTTTGATCCACTGGCTCGAACAGCAGAGCATTGTGTTTGGCTGAGGTGAAAAGCACCCTCAGAGTTTCAGACATGGAGTGGGGTTGTCCTCAAATCTGGGATTGATTTCTTTTAGCATTTAAAAAAATTAATTTTTTTTGCCCGTCCCCATCCTTTGGGGTTTGGAAGAACTTGGCTAGGGCAACACTTAGGTCTCGAGCCCATCCTCGTGTACCTGTCAGTGGGCTGGAGTGGGCCCGGGTGGCTAAGCCTCCTCAGGAGAGCAGCCTGCAGGCTGGGGGCGGACCCGCATCTCTGAGGGGACCTTTCCCTTCTCAGCTGGCCCTCCCCTTCTTCCCGCCCAGAGAAGGTCTTGCCCTGGGTCCCAGTGGACCTCACCACGCTCCCTGGTGCCCTCCGCAGCCCCTTTGGAGAGGTGCTTGCTTTTCCCTCCCAAGGAAGGGTATGCCTTGTAGTGTTTATTTTATTTTTTAATTGAAGTATAGGCAGTTAACAGTGTGTCATTTCTGGTTTACAGCATAATGTCCCAGTCATGTGTATATACATATGTGTGTATATATATGTATATTCATTTTCTTATTCTTTTTCACTAAAGGTTATTACAAGATACTGACTATAGTTCCCTGTGCTATATAGAAACAATTTTTAAAATCTATTTTTATATATAGTGGTTAACATTTGCAAATCTCAGACTCCCAAATTTGTCCCTTCCCACCTCCTTTCCCCTGGTAACCATAAGATTGTTTACTATGTTTGCAAGTCTGTTTCTGTTTTGTAGATGAGCTCATTAGTGTCCTCTTTCTTTTCTTTCTTTCTTTTTTTAGACTTCATATGTGAGTGATATCATATGGTATTTTTCTTTCTCTTTCTGGCTTTATTTGGAATGACGATCCCCAGATCCATCCATGTTGCTGCACCTGCCATTATTGTATTCTTTTCCTTTATCACTGAGTAATACTCCATTGTATAAATATGCCACGACTTCTTTATTCAGTCATCTGTCATTGGACATTTAGGCTGCTTCCATTTCTTGACTATTATATATAGAGCTACATTTTTAATGTATCTTTATCAGTGCTTTGGTTTCTGAAATTTATTTAGTTTCAGACTTTATTTGTAATAGCTGGTAAAAACTGGACCCCATCCCACCACTGTCTCATCACAATATTCCTCTCCTGGTGAGGGTGTGTAGCAGTGGCCAGTGGTAGGCAGTACGTCTCCTGGTAGAAACAGTCCACACGCCAGGACATTTGAAGATGCCTGCTTTAGATTCTATTTAGCAAAAAAAAAAAAAAAAACATGTGAAACCCCTGTGACACAAAGGCAAAAACATGTCTACGATTTGTATACCAAGTTAATTCAACTAAGAGGTTACTTTCAATGTGAATTTGGGTACTGTGGCTAGATTTGTGGTTTAGAAACACATAAATGCCTTTTTCCCCCCACGTAATTATTATCCTGCCCTTGATCTTAGCTGAAGGTTAAGCATTCTGTCTGTTTTATTTTGAGTTCTTTGGCTAACACCTGTAAAACTTAGTGACTGCAAAGGAATATAAACCATCAATGTCCGCATGGATAATGCTGAAAGTGGATACCTTCTTTTCTTCTGTTTTAGTTATTGGGGTGGGCCAGGGATTTAATACAACCAGTTAAAATGGTGATCCTTAAATTCTGGTAGCTCTCTAGGAAATTTATTATATACTAAATTTCAGGGGGTGTGGATCCCCTGCAGCCTCAGTGTAGGCAGCTTCCTCCCAACAGCCCAGGGAACCTTGTAGTTTCATCCTGATTTCCATTTGTGGAGATACTTTGAGATACTGTTGGCTGAGAATGACTTGGCAACTGTGATGGCCCCCTGGCATTTCTTTAGTGCTCAACACATTGTATTTGTATCATTTTCCTTAGTATGTGTATCTGTCAAGTTTCAAGCAGAGAAGTAGAATCAGCAGGAGATACATATTAAGAGCTTTATTGCGAGAAATTGACTTGATTGTGAGGGCTAACAAGTCTAAAATCTGCAGGGCAGGTGGTCGGGAAAGGCGGTCTGGGACAATCAGGTACTGATACTATTGTTTACGAGCAGAGTTTTTTCCTGTTCAGGGAAGTCTCAGCTCCGCTTTTAGGGCCTTTCAACTGATGCGTTCAGGTCAGTCAGATCATCTAGGATCATACCCCTGACTTAAAGTCTACTGAGTATGGCTTGATCACATCTATAAAATACTTCCCCTCAACACCTAGATTAGTGTTTAAGTGTTTCGGGTCTTCAGCTTAGTGAAATTGACTTATCAGGAAGACCATCTTAGTGTTTGGTTTGTCAGCTGTAGATAGTGAGTTTCCTTGTTGCCATTTAAATTTCTCAGATCTTGCTAGTTTCTGATAATGCAACCCACCTTGGAGATCATGGGTTGAGTTCCAGACCACCGCGGTAAAGCAAATATCACAGTAAAGTGAGTCACGGGAAGTTTTTTCATTTCCCAGG